TGGCTGCTGGCTACACACGGTAGCCCATGGCAACCCACTGCCACAGGGGCTGCAGCCTACGCCGTCGCCGGCGACTCACAGCAGCCCAGCTCCAAGTTGAGCTGTTGTTCAGCATCTTAGCTGTAGAGGGCAGTGTCACTGGCCCTCGTATGTGGGATCTGAACCGGGGCCCTCTGGTGTCCCAAGCCAGTTCTTAACCAACGCGCCACTTGGCCGGCCCTTGTATATCTTTTTAAATTTAATTTTTCCAGTAATTCATTTTTACTGTATGTTACACAAGTACTGGTCCATGACAGATAAGAAAACAACCCAAGCTGTTCCTTCTTCATAGATAGCTTGAATAAGTACTAATCTAGGCCCCAGAAACCGTGTTAAACATTCACAAGTTGTTTCATTTGGAGCTGAGAAAGGTATTATAACTCCATTTTGTAGACGAGAAAATGGAGGCTCTGAGCTGTTGAAGTAAGAAACGTCCAAACGTGTAGAGGACTTTAATTAGTTTATCTGAGCCAAACTGATGACAATTGCCAGGAAGTAAAATCTCAGTGGATTGAGAAAATGCTCTGGAGAATGGCAGTTTTGCAACTTATTTTATACATTAGAATCAAAGGAGGAGACGTAAGAGGGGTTACATGAAATCTGTTGGTGGTTGATTAAGGTGGTGGGAGAAAACAAAACAGAGAAATGTGGGATTGGATAAAAGTAAAATGCAGAGACACATTCTTTTACATTGGTGGACACAGGATAGTTAATTAACATTTTACAGCACATGGAGATGGTCTTCTGGGAACAAGATAACAATGAGGGGTTCTGTGGTCTGGTGCTTTGGTGCAGTGGGTTGTACCCTGAGGGGTCCAGAAAAGGGATTATCTGACATTCCAAGGATATGTTATCTTAGATGTAAAAAGACAATAGACAGGCAGGCTTACTTAAGGTAAAGATTGACCTTTGTCAAAGAAATTACAGGCCAAAGATGTGACTACCTACCATGACCCGCTTTTAGTTAGAAATTGTATGTTCAGACCATCCTATGTGGTTAATTTGGTCTGAGTTTGTAGGGCCTGCCATGCTCGTCTCGCCTGAGCTTGTCAGGTTTAGTATTTGGTCCATTTTTCATCCACAGAGCTTAGTGACTAGTCCCAGTCCCACAGCTGGAGGTCACAAAGCTGGTCTGTGCAGGTGCTGTTGGCTGAAGGCCAGGAGCCCCCACAGAGATCTTGATGACTCAGGGACCAGTGATCAGGCTCCTTAGGACCCAGGCTGCCCATGCAGTGCAGCCAGACCCAGGCTCTCTGGAGCACGCCCTGGGAACAGAGGCTGTGCTAGGCATCGAAATGAGTTCCTGCATGATGGTTATCATAAAGGGCTGCCCACCATGCACTGCAGAGCCCCTTAGAGAACAGGCTTCCGGTTAGAAACTGGACAGGACTGCAGCTGACGGCAGTGCCAGCAGGAGCCTGCATGTGGGTCAGGAAAAGGGGACATGAAACCATAGCCTTCTACCTCTCCCCCACCTATGGTCTTGGTTTCTTGAACAGAGGAAAGCACAGTTCAAGACCACCCTGGAGCTTAATGAGAAACGTGCAGTGCCTACCTGCGGCTTGCCTCTCCATAGCCATTGCCCTTTTTCTGTCAGTAGCACAATGATTTTGCTTCGGGGGATCTGTCCCTGCCTCCTCCCTCCCTGTGTTTGCTTTCCCGGCTGCATAATTTGTTCAGAGGGCAACAAATGACCCAATTTGAGCCAGAGACACAGGAGGGTGGAGCCGAGGCTTCCCTGTGCACTTAAAGTTGGAATGGTGTGTGGCTGGAGCTGGTGTGGCCAGCTTGCCACCCGGGAGAGGAGCTGTTTGAGAATAGAAGGAACCCAGAGGAAGTCAGCTAAGAGCTGGGAAAACAGACACTAGGCCTTAATGATATCATCTGAGCCCCTAGATTCAGGGTGAGATGGAGTGAATGGAGGCATAAAATGAGATGTGGCCAATATCGTTTTTTGGGCTTAACTCAGTGGGATTAAGTTTTCTGTCATTTGCAACCCAAGGCCTTCAGACTGATACCAGTCCTCCATATGTCCTTCACCTCATTCCTAGTTTGGCCAAGGCAATTCATCAAGCCTTGACAAGAAAAGGGACATGTGGTCAGTTGGACAGGCTGGTTGGATTTGGGAATTAGAATCCTCGCCGCCCCCCTCCCCCTTTCCAGGATTCCTCCATTGCATTCTAGACAGCTTTAGTGCTAGAGGTGCTGCAACCCAACCATTCATCCATAGAAGGGTAGCCGTCCCAACTATGTGCAGTCCCTCAGACAACAGTTTTAGACCCTCCCCATTGAATCCTCACCACACGCCCAAGAAGGCAAGTATTATAACCCCTGTACTACAGATGGGGACACCGAGGCCAAGGGAATCCCATATGTTGGCCTGAGCTCACACGGCAGGACTCCTCATCCAGTGCTCCGCCTATCATGTCCCTGTAGTCTGTGTGTCTTTGTGACGTTTCAGCACTAAACACGGATCCCCCTCCTCCCTCATACAAGCCCATGTCAGCAAGGGACTGCCCTGCTGAAACCCTTCCAATGGATTCCATTGCCCTTGAGATGAAGCCCCAGCTTCTGTCCCAGCTGCACGGAAGCACGTTAGTCTCCCACATGCATCCTGCTTTCGCTCGCCTGAGCTGGACCTGAGCATGCCCTTCCTTACAGCTGCTGTTTTCCTCCAGGGCCTGCCCTTTCTCTTGAACCTCCCACCTACATACTCCCTTAGGCCCCTCCCCCAGATAGCCTCCTGAACTCCACGCTCTGGTGTATAACTGCCCCCTGGATCATCTCCCCTTGGAGGCCCCACAGGTGCCTGAAAACCAAGTCCCAAATGGGATCATCCCTCCTACCCAAGCCTGCTCTTTTCCTGGACCCTGGGAATAACCACACCCTTGTTGTGTTTCCAAGTTCTAGTTCTAGCTCAGGGTCTAATTCATAGAAGATGTGGTTTATTGAATGAACGCATTTATTAAATGAATGATTTATCGAATGAATGCATGCATGCATGAATGAATGAATTAATGATGCCAGGGTTCCCAAACTATGCAGCCACCTAGTTGTGGGCCAACTGAGTAGCCTTCCCCCCACCCCACTGAAAGACTTTTAAGTTTTCTTTCCCATAGAAATGTTAAATATAGAAATGTTAAGTCTCCTCCCTAGTTTCTTAGTTCCTTAGCTCTTTGCTTTGATTACTTTTCTAACCAGTTTGTGAATCCTAGACTAAAGATTGTTCCTAGCCTGAATCATAGAATTCTCTTATCCCCCTGTTTCTTGATTGCTTTGTAAATCAGTTTCTAAATCCTAACAATAGATTGTTCATAGAAGTCTCCTACCCTTGCTTCAGATAACTACTTGAAAGCCTGTAACTTCCCAATATCTCCCAGGCCAATAAGCCTAATGATTCTTTCCAAACCCATTCTGGGCCCAGACAATTGACACCACCTGAGTGACGGGCTGAATGGCTACAGACTTCATGAGAGCTAACAGATTTATTAATTAAAATCTATTTTTCCTCATTCAGGGGCCTTGGGGATACAGACGATACCCCAGCAAGATTGCCAGTCACAACCAAAGAAGCCAACATGGTCTTCCAGGCAGAGCTCGAGAACCTTCCTCTCATCGGAGATCAGATAGGGTGAGAGTTCCGTGAATCCCCCAATAGGCAGGGACAGCTCTACGCCCCTGCCCAGCAGGAAGCAGATACAGAAGACACCTCCTGTCCCTCAGCTTCCCATAGAGATTTTATGGGGATCACATCTCTCAAAGGAAAACCTAGGCAGGCAGTTAGAGGCAGGCATTGGGTCTCTGCATTCCTGCACATCCCACAGAATGCACTGCCCAGGAGACCTCCCTTCTCCACCCAAAACTCCCTTTTGTATTGTGATTACCTACCCTTGCGGGAAAACAAATGGGTACAAAATACCCAACTAGATCTGACCAGTCACTCGCACCTGCTCAGTACCTTTTGTCAATCACAGGTGCCAATCAAGTGGTCCCACACCCAAAGGGGAACTCTAGAGAAAAAGGGATAAAAACTCCAAGTCCTGGGAAGTTCGTCCTTTTTGACCACTTCTTCCCTTTTTTTGACCCTTTCGTCCCTTTTTGAGCCTTTTGAGCCTCACCTTTGCATGTGGCCCGCTCCAAACTCTTTGGAATGTAATTTCTCTTCTAATGATGGGCCCTTGAGCCATTCTCTAATGCTCGGGCCCACTTCTATTTCTTAAAAGTGTACTACTATCTCTTTTAATAAACTGCTTTTTCACTACTTTGCTCCAGTATCTCGTTCAATTCTTTGCTTGAGAAACCAAGAACCTGGGAATTGCGCCGAGAAGGGCCCACTCTCCGACAACAACCTGAGTGTGCTGTGGACTGAGAAGGTCTGGGGACCTCCACTGCTCTTCCCCGTCGCCCCAGGCTGACTGGATTGTGCCATGGTGGCAGCAGGACCCTGCTTAGGAGAGTCCTTGGTCAGGAAGGGCTGGGGCAGTGAAGAAGAGCATTTGACAGCAGGGACCTGTGGCTCACTGGGAGTCAGTGGGCACAGAGTAAACCCTGGGAGGACTGAAGCCAGGGAAACTGAGATAAGGGGAGAAAGGCCAGCTCAGAACCCCCGAGCTCACAAAGCAAGGGCTTTGCTCCTCAAACACAAATGCAAGGCAGAGCCTCGGGTACAAGGAAGAAGTCCTGGGGAGTTGGCACAAGGCCAGAGCAGGTCCCTCTGGGTTCTTTGTCCTGGACCCAGATGGGTCCCCAAGACGGTAGAGTTGGAGCCTCGATCACTGGCACCATAGATCTACACGTCAGGAAGCCAGGCAGCCCCTTCCGGTGGGCCAGCTTGCCCGCCTCCCCGTGAGCCTTCCCTCATTTCTCGTGGCTGCAGACCATGCCCTGACCTCCTTCACTCAGAGCTCCAGGACAGTCATGAAGGCAATCATGTGGTAGACACTGTGTGCCCAGCACCCTCTCCGAGTCCCTTTGTAACACAGAGTCCATATGATCTCAGTCATCGAGCCGACAACAATGCTGTCAGGATTGCGATTGTCCTTTGTAAACCAAGAAACGTGATTTCTAGGGCCACACATCTGGGACGTGTTGGGTCTCTGTGACCCCACAGTGCAGCTCTATTGCCCAGAGCTGCTTCTCTAGCTCCGTCCTCCCCAAGAAATCAGAGCCTCTCACAAAACCCCGGGCCATCTCGTTCCCTTCCTCAGGCTCTTGGAACTCCACAGGCCACCTCTGTGGCTTTTAGCCAGGACAAAACTCCTGCCTGGCCTGTCCTGTGCCCAGGCAAGGATGGACAGACTGACCAGCCTTGCTCAAAGCCTGGGCCAAGGCTACTGCCTGGGGCTCTATCGTCATCTCACAGCTCCACGTTGCTACCATGTGTCCCCTAGCACTCCAGGGCACAGCAGTTTCCTTGGAAAGTCCAGCCTTGCCTGTAAAGTGAGGGCTGAACCTTCTTTTTCTCAGGAAAGAAAGAGGCTTAGCTCAGTCCTTGTTATTGAGGAGGTTTGAGCCCTTATTAGTTCACTGGCTGTGTGACTTTGGTCAGTGACTCAACCTCTCTGAGCCTCAGTTTGCATAGTTATAAAGATGATAAAATTTAGCTCAGGGGGCTGTTGTGAGGTTTAAAAGAGGCAGCATATGGAAAGCACCATAACAGCCCTGGCAGTTAGTAGGTGCTCAATCAATAGTAACTCTCATTGCTATGACTGTTGCCTTTGTTCCCTGTGCCCATCTCATGAAATTTCTGTCCTCCTGGCCCAGGCATCAGCTCTCTCTTTGGCATCTTTCTCCTTTCCCTTTTTAAGGGCATTTCTGCTGCGCCCAGCTGCACAGTCAATTCCAGTTCAGACCCTCTCAGAGTCCTGAGATCCTGCCAGCAGCATGGCCCAACCAACCGGAGTCCTCTGCTAGCATTCCTGTTAACTGTAGTCAGGGATCTGCCTGAGGCCTGCCTGGGTGTGTCTGTGCTTGAGAGGGAGGGGGTGACGGGAGGGGAGTGGCAGCTGCTCTTTTGTCAGCCAGTCACAAGGAGGGTGAGGCCAGGGCACAGCCGGTACAGGCCAAGAACAGGAAACAGGTGGACTTTGCGGAGGCCCAGATGGGGGTGGGGCGTGAGGAGGCCCACGTCTGGGCATCAGCAGACGCATGGAGGAATGAAAAGGTCTCACTTCTGAGCTCCCAGGCTGGGGAGTCCAGAGGCCCTCAGATGGGTTTCAGGTTGCTTTGGAATCAGGAAGTCAACTGACTCATGCAGTTGTGTATTGAAAATTGTTTAGTCACCGTCCAACTCTCTGTTAGGGTGCAGGATAAGTCGCTATAACAAAAAGACCCCAAAAGATGGTAGTATAAATGGGACAGAACTTTCATTCTCTCCCACATCACAGTCTGACAGGGTGGCTGTGTCTCAGGTGGTTATTTGTGAATGTGGTTTTCTTCCGTCTTGTGCCCCTACCCACCCCAAAGAAGATATTTGAAACCTGGGATGTTCTAAATGTTCTAGATGTTCTAAATAAGGCTGACCAAAACCCAGGGGCTCTCTGCATGGCAAAAAATTACAACTTGATTTCCACCAAGGTCTATCTGAAAATTAGCATCTCCTTCCAGTATGACAGCAGGCCACAAACACAGGAGTATATTGGCAG